AGTCTGGTAAATCTTCATACTCACAGCTTTGAAAACCTCAAATCATAGATACCAACTTTTCGGAGAAACATGTCTCCATCTTTAGAGCCGAATATATACTATGCTGCTCCAAAAACGTGGGTATCTGCCTACGAGCCTGTACAGCGGCACTATCTCTAAAAAAAATTACTATAAATTTTGCCGCAGCAAATAGACAGGGCGTGATTATAACATCAGAGACTTCAAATGAAGTAGACATATCAACAGACAAATCAGCTAATTTCTCCTTTGCAACATAAGTGTAGGGATGTTCAAAACTACATAATATTGGACAGTTCGAACAGCTCCGTCACGGCTTCGAATTGCATTTTCCCGAGCCTCTGTGTGCTGATCTGTGAAGCTCCATGAAGCAGAGACCTTACGACCGGCTAGGCTTACAGACTGCAATATTTCGCGGTGCTCGTCAGTACTTACAGGCAAATAAATGTATTGAAGATCCGTTCATCGGTTCTCGAGTCCTTACATGGGGACAGAAGAAAGTAGATGCAGTCATAAAAAAGATAGTAGGCACATTTTTCAACTTTCCTTTGGGAACGAGCCAAGAAAGGATGTCTTCACACACAAGCAGTGGATTTGAAAAAAAATCACTACCGAAAGAGAGGTGTATGGATTCCCAGAAACCACAAATCTATCTGCGTAAGAGACCAGTGTTGGTTGGCTGGTGATTACTTTCAAAATCACTATTACACTGCGGGAAAAGCGGAAACATAAAAGTATCTCTTCTTTACTCTTGTCTGTTTATCAAACGAGTAAGATGCAATGTAAAGCATAAACTTCCCACACGTTTCACTGACATACATAAACATACGATTTAAACATAATTTTCATTATTCTATACTCATTTATTTGTTATCGGAAAGTGACTGTTTATATAAAAGCACAGATTCAGACAGCCATGATTTTGCATTACAAATTTATCGATAAATGCTATGTACAGCGCACAATTGATGTTGAAATGCGTGTGTTGGCTAGAGTCCATTTTTTAAATCACTATTTGCACTAAATTAAATTCTATTATTTTCTTAAATCAAACAGATATAACTAATGGTTTTAATTTTAAGTGCTGAATTGTCAGACTTCTCAATAAAATACGTGTTCTTGTATTTACCATTTAAGATTTTTACGTTACTTTTGGTAGGTAATTTTCTACTAGAATTACAACATTCAGACATAATCGCATTACCTCTGTGTAATAACCACGATTTCATAACAATGAAACTGCAACTGAAAGGTTCTGGTTTCAAAGGAAAGGCGGAGAAAAAAATTCACAATCAGAACCAATATAATTCACGTGCTGGGTAAGTATAAAAATTACGAACGCCTAAGTTTTATACATAATCGAAGGAACTATACAATTTACTATCAAATCTGGACACAGCAGCTACTCCTTACGTAATAAAGACGAGACGGAACCTGATTCTAAGACACTCAAAAAGAGTGCAAAACGGAGAAACAATTACTATCTTTTCACTGCCGCCCAGATAACAAGAATACAATAAATGACTATACAAATGAATATCTGTGCTTCCAGCATAGGCGAAAGTAATTTGTACAAGAAATACCGAAACACATGGAAATACAGTGATGACGACGATAAGCTTCAGTCTCACTACGTGCTGAAGGCTGATTCGCAGCTCATTTATAGACGCCGTATTTACTACGAAGAGAGACAATGCCTGCATAAACTAGAGAAACTAAGGGAAGTTTATTCCACTACCGCTTTCTTATCTAAACTCCACCAACCTCACAAAAGTAAGGTGGCAGTAATCTTGCTAAGAAAACGCCCCTCCTGCATTCTAGAAGCACACAGATCCGATATCTACGCCGACTGCCTACGCTATTCCAGGTTTGTCAGAGCTTTTTTGAATTTATACCTTAAAATAGCCACAGCCATTTCCTATCATATCCCTATCTATTCATAGCCTATAAAATTCCAAATGTATATCGGTCGGAACCGCATTATGCAGTTGATTCAATGCCATAAAATAGCCGAATGGACAACAAACTGAGATGAGGCCTTTTACAACTTGCGTTTCGACAAATCAGTAAAAGGTAACTCGCGCGGGGGAGACGTGGGGATCATTACTCGGTCGAAACGATCACGACTTCCTGCTTGCTCAGGGGGCGAAGTCCAGCCCAGCCAAAGCCACAAGCAGAACGGAGTCTCTCGCATACTGCATTGCGGGTTGCTTATTAATTCAGGCGCCATTGCAATAAGGTTTCTCGGGCAGGTCCCAGAAGCCACTCTGCCCCTTCTCTCCACGTATCACTTGAGTGTCATGTCAAGGCGCGCAACAAGCTCTCGAGCAAGTTTGTAGCCAAGTACGTCAAGGGGGCAAAAAAATAAAGAAAGTTTCTTCCCCGTGGGAGGGTCCACATTCTGTCCTCACACGAAAAACTCGGATCTCTCTCCTTAAGGGTTGGAAAGATGGAAAAATAACGGATTACAAAACCAAAGCCTGGTGAAAATCTGCGGTACAGATCTCAGAAATTTGCTGTATTTTAACACATCGGCATTTGAATGCCATTAAATAGAAAACCTCCTTGTATTTGAAGATTGCTGTCTTCAGACTCACCGCCGTGAAAACCTCAAATCCTCTAAGTATTTATTCAATCTCCTTTTGGTATAGGCAATTCCAACGCACGAATATTTCATAATTTATACGAATAATTACAATGACGCTAAGTTTATACGTAAACATCTTAATGCTTATGTAAGATTTGATGTTTTCACGGCGGTCAGTACGAAGATTTCTGTCTTCTGGGTTGTTGCGATTTGTAGTCTGGTCGATGTTTACCAACGTTTCAGAGGTCATACTGCCTCCGTCATCAGGGCGATCTGAAACGTTGGTTAACATCGACCAGACTACACAGCGCAACAACCCAGAAGACTGAAATCTTTATCTTAATGCATGTTTTGGTAGAATGTTGAGCATTACATACCAACTATAGGGATCGTTCATCGTAAAGTTCTATAGTCAATACCACTGATATCCTTAGGCAATACTTGCACATACCTGAGCGTTTTTAAACAACACGAATACAATTATACAACTTTAGCTGAAATAATGGAACTTGGCAAGTAAATTATACATCTGTTCCAGTTTAATGCAATAAGTCTAGTTTTCTTTTGTCCCTTGAAGAAGTATTCTGCTTTATTGATTCCCCTCTCTCCCTTGGTGACAATTTTACTGGCGGAGATTGGAATTAAGCGGATGCCCTCGACGTAGAGTGGATGATGTTTTAAATATATTCTATAAAAATATTCGGAAACGACATTTAGTGAAGAATATGTGAGTAGAGAATGGCTCGTTCTTAACGAAGAGGTAGCTTATAAAAATAACGCATTGCATTAATGCTGTTAACTCAGGAATATAGGAAAATATTTTTATAAAATTACGCATAAATGAGATATAAAATCAGTAATACATAATGCAAAATGGAGAAGGGTAGAGTATAATTATAGTTATAAAAATAAATATTTAGAGTTAGTTATAATAGAAGTGTGGGCCGTAAAAGCCTGGTGTTTGGCGAACGCAGTCGTTTGTACTGAAAATTCAACTCAATAAACGCCAATGTGAATTCTATAAATAGATGAGTGACTTACTTTAACACTTAACCGCACACGAAAAGCCATCTACGTGTCGTCGTCACTCTAATTGTGTTGCTGAATGAATTCCTAGAAATCATTTACAGATTTATTTAAGTACGGAAAATATGATTAACTACGCACTGGCGTTGGTATCGCTTCGTTTCCGCGTGCCTGATAATTAGCTCATGCTTCAATCTTACAACGTGTTAAACAGCGATGAAGGTGTTGGCGTTTGATTCAGAGAAATAATTTTCGGATATCTATAACAACATGAGCGTCCTCTTTTCACAAGGAGATTTGTCCCAATGACGCCAAAATTCACAAAATTTACAACGCTCTAAATTACACCAACTCAGTTCACAGTTTCGCAGAATCAACTGAATATTTCTTTCTCTTCATATCTGTGAACGGGAAGTAATATATTTCTGAAAATTATTATTCCATTAAAACTGGCTTAATGGAAAGTTACGCTCGAACGAACATCTCTTCTCTTAACAAAATTGCGGCAAGCAACTTTGTTTATAATGAAATCCGCAGACCGGATTATGCCACCTTCGCCCCTCCACGTTTGGAAAATAATTTACAGTCATTCCAACAGGCCCTTCAATTCTGGGCACACAACGAAAAATGCAGATAAAACAATCGATACATACTGAGATACTTTTATTTTGTGAGAGTGCGTTATGGCTTAGATTAAAGTTCATATGGGTTCTCGCTTTGATATCATGATTCATTTCACTTGTATCTGCAGAAACAGAGTGATGTTAAGTAGGGTAACGACTTCAGATCGTTTTATTCTCACGTAAAGTGCTAAAGGTCTAACACGTTTTCCGCGTAAATTTGAGCTTTATTTAAATACACGAATTAAAAAGCGGCTTTTCTGTACAAAATAACATTAGCAGAAATTGACAAAAAATAGTACTCGTGTTAATACTTGCTATGTATTCAATATAACGGACCCAGTAAAATACTCTATAAATCCTTATTTCAAATTGGAGGAAATTAAATATTTATTTTACGTTGAGAGAATATCTGAGAAAGATGACGAATAGCCTAGACTCATAAACATCAACGCAGTAACGCGACATATTAGAAATAAGAAACCCTTACGTTTTTGCGTCAAACTCAATCCGCGTTGCGTCTGAAAGTTCTTGTGTATTTACCGCCTCTAGTAAATACAGCATTTTCTCTGAATAATAGCAAACAATCCTTGTATGACAGACAAGTCATTTATAATGTTAACGTTTGGGTTGGAGGCTGTTTCGTGTCAAATTAACTACTTCATTCAATGGACGCGTTGATTTCACATACGAAGGTCTGAAAACAAAAGATCCGATGTCCACTCAAAAATTAAACGTGCTGTACTCACTTGTGGCGCTGGCGGCAGGCCCTTTATGATGTGGTGAACTGTTGACTCGTTCAGGTTCTGAAAATTGATAAGTCATCAGGCATCAATAACTTCATTAGTAAGTACATACTGAAAGACTTTTGAGTAAACAGCGTTAATAAAAAAAATTTCCTTTTTCTTATTTTTAATCGGTGTCTACACAACAAAGAATAATTTGTTAATGTTGTTTAAGGAAATAGTCGCTGTTTACATTAAGAATCATACAAGACATTTATACAAAATGATTGTCGACGCAGGTGGGACATACGGTTACCATTGTGTTTTAAAGCTTTTAATAAGTATGTCGGCTTCAAACATATTTTCATTTTGTAATTTATTTCACATAAAAATCGGTAGGCACATTATAAGAGGAATATTCAAGATATTAACGAAATGGCCGATGTCATTAAGGACAACTAGGAGAAGTGAGACCACGTTCAGACTACAAACTGCCAAAAAGACTTTTCCGTAAGAGATATTTAGGTAAGTGGGATTTAGGAAGTCCACGAATGAGATGGTTTGAGTAGTTTGCGTAACTTCAGAGCACGTAAAATGGGCCTAAACCTGGTATGATTAGTACTATACGAGACATAACCTGACGTTTAACTAACTTCGAGCTCATTGCTTTCACGGAAGGGGGCAAATTATTTTCGATCCATATGTACTTCTTAAATATAGCGTCCAAATAAAATTTAGACTTTATTTGCAAATATGGCAAATATTCACACATAATGCACTTATAATGTGTCCGAAGCTAGAGATACATTCTAAGGCGAAGCACGACTCTATAAACTTGTCACAACACAGTCCAGAATAACTCTCTCTAACGAGCTTCTTGTAAGGTAACAAACACGTTATTACAAAGTTTAGAGGCTTACAATAAACTCGCTTCAAGTAAAGATAGAATTTTGCTCGTTAATCTGAAATGAAGTTTCTTTGAAACTCTAAAACTCGTAAATGCAGTAACTTTGAATCCAAACTTATTTCGTAATGCATTATAGGATCGTCGAAAATCTTCTACCAGAATACACTGGGCAACCACCCACAGGAAAGTCATTTTCACACTTACGCTGTAAGAACCTGTTTGAAAACTGAAGAGTTTTGGTGTTTTGGAAGGATAACCTTTTTTCCAAAACACCAAGGATTTAGTGTATGCAGAATAAATTATAAATTACACAGATGAAAACGTCCGAGACTCAGACATCTCTTCATTATATACAAGAGTAAGGACTACCTGAATCCGTGGAAAAGTGGCAAAAAGAGTAAAATCGACTGGACCTACTGAAGATGATGTAATTAGCAAATAAACAACATCAGAGCTATATAAAGTACAATGCAATAATTTGCATGTTTTAGAAAATTGGGATGATAAACTCTCTCGGGTATCAGTCTTCTAAAATGTATGGCTGTCTTTGCCGCTATGAACCTTAATTATTAAATGCTTCTGCTGATAGATGTTCTGTCGGACACGGAAAGTACGAAATCTTACAAGAACATGTTAGAGAGATTTGACGGGCTGACATAGGGTTTTCATTACGGATTCCATTGACGGAGCCCCTTCCCTGTCGAAGTGGTCCGCTGGGACACCGAAGTCGATCTGCGTCACAATCTACAGGAATCGATATGAGCGTCAGACTTGGTTGTAGTTTCCGAATTCCACGGCAGATGTCGGAAGTAAACCCACAAATTTTATGCTGACATCTGTCCTACATAAAACGGAAACATGAACCACGTTACAGAATTTCCATCTTTTATGAAAAGGAGGAAGAATATTTTGCTCACAAATTCAGAATGAAAGAAAAAAAAGTATTGCGTAGAAACAATGGCTGGTTGAAATTTCATGTCGACATGACCACACGTTTTAATTAGTTTAATTTTTATATTTTAACGGTAAATAAGTCTATTTTCTTGAAATAGGCAGCGACCGCTTCCTTTCATACAATTTCCAATTAATTATTAATTAATGATTGTATCTGTGAAAGATATATATATAATCTGAGTTACTGACCGCACCAATAAATAAGTAAATGTGGCTGAGAAGGTATTCCATGGTCTGTCTCGGTGTTATGCCCGAGAAAATATCGAGAGCCTGTACCTCATCCATCATCATTCACGAATATTCTGACGTCACTCACTTGACACCTCGTGACAGATTCGTAGAAGTGCAAACACAGCTGCCATGAAAGAACTGAACTACCCCACCCTTCGAGAACAGGATTCCTGCAAATCTTCACGTCGAGATGGAATTTCAGCACATGGAGATTGCAGAATAAACATGGAATTTTTGAAATTCAGAACATGACTGACCTTTTTTTAATGTCATAACTGAAAAAGTATGGGCCAACACAAATTCAAAACGTATTTCAGTAAACAAAATAAACAGAGAAACCAATATAAAGTTTAATAATAATCACAAACATGGCTATCCTTCATTAAAAAGGACCTATTTTCATATTTAACAGTAATATGGTGTGTCTTGTTGGAGGTAAGATTCTTATTTCTTATAATATTCAAAATTTCTTTCGGTACTAAAGTGTTAAAGTTTTTTGTCGCAACTGATATCATTTATAAACGTTTTTTAAGATAGGTGAGGACAATTCACACTAATCCCAAGACCGACTTAAAATCATGGCTACACGGGTCCGATTAGACAGCAAAACGCGTTAACGTTCAAAAGTCTGTTCCCGATTCAACCCATTATCGGGCGATGGCGTATCTTCCCGAGCTCCCCAGTGTTACGGATGTTTACGTCTACACCGATATTCTAAAAAAGAAGACAGCATGTAG